GACAATAATTGAGAGTTGAGACTTGAGACCACTGTAGAGTGTAGAGAGACAAATATCACAAATTAAGAGGATTTTCTAAATTTAATAATTAATTGTGCAACTTGTACAAGTAGTGGTTCGAAATAATAAAAAGTAAAAGTATAAAGTGAGAGACTAGTGCGGGCAAGCAGGATTTAATAGTAATGATTATTTTCAAAGATTCCACCAAATGTAATTATGAAGCTTATTGTGCTAGGGAAAAGGATATTGGACCAAAGAGAACTTATATAAAGTTAATTATTCCAAAATAAAGCCTGCAAGGGTTGGGTCCGACTGGTCGCAAACGGGGGCGCAAGGCGCGTTCTCATACCGGGTCATGGGCTCGATTCCTGGCGAGGCACCCTGGGATTAGTCTGGCCGATACGCTGGGATACCCTGAGTTAGCGATAACATCCTACTCAAAAAAAAAAATTATTCCAAAATAAAGGGTTTTCTTTAGCAATAATATGTTTTTGTAAAGACTCCACTAATTACCATAGCTATAGGATCTTTTAACATTAAAAGTTATCACTTTGTCATGAAATTACTTAACAAGTTGTTATTCATACAACGGATACGTGTTTGAAAAGTGGTCTCAACAATTCAAATATTTAAGAATTCATTTAAGAATTAAATTATAATAATGACCAGCCAATTTTTTTCTTAAATAATGATTTGATTCTTAATTAGGTATTCTAAAATTTTTTTCTTTTCACTTTATACAATTATATGATATTCAATATTATTGAATTAGATTTATATCTATTGTTGGGACGACCATTCTGAAAGTATTTTTTTCATTTGCAAGATTCGAATTCCCAACTTTCCTCGAAAAATTTGATCAGTATTATCTTTTATTCGACTCATTACCTATTAGTCTGTGTTTTGCAATTGTTTTATTTCACCAAAATGCTCAAGTTTATTAAGTCTAAGGTCATAAACATTAATATTGACATGTTAGTATTTGTTTTATAAGTCTTACAAATAATGCCACCGACGAATATATGTATATATGTACATGTGTTTGTGTGTGTGTGAGTGGGAAATAAATTCTGAAACATATCCAATGTATAAAGTGAATGAATCTGATCCCACCAATAGAAGGGGCCAAATGATGAAATTGGAAAATGATGGAAAGAAAAAGAGAAACAATAATAAAGTAATTAGTTTAATTAACGTTTGATCCATATATAAGTCATAACATAACACACTAGCTTGTCCCATCAATCATATTAATATAAATATTCTAGTTATTCTACGATATGATAATAATATTAAATCTGGACAACACAGTCTCATGCGAAATTCGCTTGACTTTTATTATTATTACATTGCCAAAAAAAAGTTATAGAAGTTTATGGCAATTTTTCAAAGAGAAAATCAAAAAAAAAAACCGTCAAAATAGAAAAATTATAAATCAGGACCTGTTACAGTATTAGTGTGGATTTTAACAATAATTTTTGTGAATGAGTTCTTGGATGCAATTTTCTATTTTTAGTGGTTTTTTTTTTGTGATTTTCCCTTTTTGAAATATTGAATACCAAGGTTATCCGGAAAATTAAATACTGACACGTTACAGATAGGTAGTTAAATTTTATATTTAGAAAAGGCAGTTAAAGATGCCATTTGGATTAGGTGGAACAAATGTAATACGACAAACAGAAAAGGCAAAATCATCGATTCAGTATACCTTTTCTCCGATCCATCTTAAGAATATGCAGCCAAAATATATATATATATATATATATATTTGTGTGTGTGTCTTAGTTTCATTCAGTGAAACGGTCAGAAAAATTACATATAATAAAATCTCAACAACTATAGATTTGAAACATCATGCCTAGATCCACTTCTCTTTTAATTTCTACAATGTTTACTTAAATATTTTGTTAAAATTGATTTTTTTTTTTGGGTGGGATCTTTCTTTGAGATGATTATTTTGGAGTTTAAAAAAGAGATTGGACTCTTCCATCATGACCTCAAACTCTATTGTTTATTTTTCTTTCCTTAAGTTAAGGTAACAGATACATAAATTAGTATGCAACCACATGGATTTGAAGATAAAAACATCTTATTTAATAATAATTAGTTAATACGTACGTATACTAACTACCAACCAGAACAAGGCTCCAAAAAGCATATATTAATACGAAACACAGGCTGTTATCAATCAACACAAAATTCAAAACAAGTCAAATACCTAGTCAAGGAATTCAAACATATTAGTTTAACTTTATTATTATAATATTTATTTATCAGAAAGTTGTTATGCTAATAATTATATAAGAGGCTCTGCACACTCTCACCGACATTACCAATTTGAACTCAAACTCTCATGACGTTGACCACTCGTCACACCCACTGAATTTATAAAATCAATATATGAATTATCTTTTTCTTCTGTTTTTTTTGGGGGGGGGGGGGTTTTGGTTGATCCATAATGATAGTGTCTTTTCAAAGCATCAAGCATGGACTCTTATTTTCCACTATCTGATGTGCATCCTTATGAGTGGTCCATTTGGCTTTGTTCAAAGCGAATGGGAATATGATTCTGTGAGCATGACAAGTGAAGGTGAGCATGACAAGTTGAAGATAGGTTTTTACCCCAACTATTGAAGATAAGTTTCTTGAAATTCTTGAAGGACATAAATATTTGCTGAAAAAAAGATCAATCAGAGTTAATATGCCAATTGCGATTCAATGGAAGTAATCAAGACTTATTTGGAATGATTAACAAAATACGAGATAAGTATATAAAAAATTTTTGTCTCGATTTATATAAACATTTTTATAAGTGTTTATAAATCACAGCTCCAAATAAGTTCCTAGTCTAATTCGCAATGAAAACTCAGCAAAATCGTCCCTTCCTTGGATGAACCAGACAAGATTTATAGACCTTATCATAAGACCGGTTCGCCTCGCTTGATCATGTTTTCGGAGAAATCAACAATTGTACTGACTGGCTCACCAGAAATGTCGACCAGAATTATTTCAACGTTAAGATTCTCACCTACCTCAGTCCGGGTGTGGGGATTGATTGCTGTAAAAAACTTGACCCAAAGTCATGACGAGTAGGGCCATTTTTTTAAGTCCAGGTCTTAGCCTACTATTCCTAACTCGCCCGCCATAAATCCACTCGTGTTTTGTGTGCACATGTGTACAACTAAGCATGTATGGTACGCATCTGCCAATGGATAAGCCAGTGTTTGTTCTTGGGATTTCGTCTGTCTACAATGTGTGTATTAAGAACTTTAAACCCAGTGTTTAATTATTCTTCTTCTAATTTTTATAATCATATGGCCTCTCTGACTTGTCTACCTGCTTCTGCCAGCTGGACCCACTTGTTTATCTTGTATTTGCTAAGCAATTATTAAGATATTGTGCTTGTGATAAATTGAGTTTTCCTTGCATTACTCTTGCAGTGCTTAAATAACATCCAATTATTGTTGATTTGCTAACAAAAATTCAAGTCAATCAGGTTAAGCTAAGTAGATCCAATAATAGAAATCTCATCAATTGCATTGAAGAGGAGAAATATGAAACAAAACCCATCTCAGACAACTAATTGCTTTGCCTGCTGAATCCAGAACCAGTTCAACCTGTCAAGTTGAACTTCGTATGTTGCAGTGTGTGTGTGTGTGTGTACATTAAGAAAGTTAAACCTAGAGTATTAAGAGTATTAATATTCTGCCTTTGACCTCATCAACTTGAGAGATTCTCACATTTAGAAGGTCCGAATCCTGAGATGTTGCACCGCAGATTTATGATATAATAATGGATGCAGAGTTATCATCTTCAAAAAGATTCCTTCTTATGCTTGAAATTATCATTTAAGCGGCTACTCTCGAAATTGAATATTTTTTCCTCCTTACTTGAGCAACAATGGAGGTGGTCATCAAGTCATGATTTATCAAGAACCAGAGGTCCCATGGCATAATTACAGTCAGGGCTGGTCCCTCCATGCATAACGTAAAATCTCCGTCATGAACAATAAATCTCATTTTTCAGATTTTGTACAATGTACGGATCAATGCTAGATTAGGTACATACAGTTCTAAACTTCTAATTGACATATAGGGGCTAGCAGGTTGAGTGGAACATTGTGCAACCTAACATGCCAATGTAGGACAGAAAACAGGGGTCCAAAGGCCTAATGTTGTTTGAATGAGTGGTTTATATTGAGTTCCACTGGGAGGAATGTCTCCTGATGAATCATTAATTCAGTACAGTGGATAACAACCTGGCTGTCATACACTATATGCACATCTTTGACACTAGGTACTTCTAGTAGGACAAGTTTGTGAATCAAGTTGAATGACACAAGATTTATTGATCAACTAACCTTTTAAAGTACCATAATTTACCTGTTTAAAGGTCTGTTGTTTACTGGCCCTCACTAAATGCTTGCTTCGAACCTCAAAATTCAAGGCCCAAAAAAAGAACCTCAAAATCCCTGACTTTGAGATGTTTGAAAGCCAGTTTAATGATTTTTTCTGTTTCCAGTTCTTATGTTACACCGTTTCCATCTTTTTTTTCAGTCAAGAATTATTAGAAAAAACAAAAATTAGTTCTATATTCAGTAGAGTTCACTAGAATTTTATAACTTCCACACAAATTCTCAGCGCACCGATTTATGCAACATTGATCAATATAGATAACTTATTCAATCAAGTTAAATTTTTCTTTGCATTAGCCATATGTAACATGTTTAATCTCTATTCCGTTGTTTTTAACAGGCGATCAATTTCCATCCAAATAAATTGAATGAAATAGAAATGTAAGCATTCATCTGCTAATTCCAAATGAAGATGCAGCTGCAAAACCAAATCCTATCGACTCCATTCATGTCCGATATCACTATGAAAAGAATCACACAAGAAGAAAATAAAGAAACTAGGGAAAAAAAAAATTTTGGGGGGGGGGGAGATTTAGGTAAGCGCCTCTGTACCTGTTCCAATGCATGCGCTTAAAGGCACTGCCACTTGCATTGAGGAAGAAGAAAAGTGATATGGCAGGCAAAAGATAATGGAACAACAGAGTCAGAAGATGGGATCATGTTAAGTATAGACACTGACCTTCCATACATATTATATTCTCATAAATATGCAGAATCCAGAATTAAATAGACAGTAAAACAAAAAGACAAGATCTGGAAGGCATATAGGCAATCCCTTATTTTGCACCACGAACTACTATAACCTGTTTTAGTGGTTCAAGCAAAAGGATCCATCCACGAAGCTGCAGCAGTATGAAGCATCTTGGTACAACCAGTTTCCCAAATCTCTTTCCTAAAGTGAATTTCCATGAGCATGAACAGATGTCCATAGATAGAAGTAGATTACCCTGCTCGCTTTGTTTTATTCTCATTAGAAGACAGTAGAAATTGCAAGTTCACTCCACAACGACATTCACCAGTTCATATTCGATCAGTGACAAGTTGTTATCCTCCCTAACAGAGAAGTTTGCAGGCTCTGCAACTTCAACACGGCCCCACTTGTCCACAGCAAGTCTCATGGATCCTCTGTACATGTCAATTTTAGCATTGCGCAGGGTGACGGTTGAACCCTCTTTCATCATATCCACTGAACAAAAAAAAAAAACATTGAAGCATGCTATTTGTCAAGAGGATTTTTAATTGCCAATAAGAATTCTAAAAATTATGAGTACATAGCTTTGTTGAACCATACAATTTAAAACGACATCATATAAAAGTATTACAAAATCCTCATCATATAAGCTACCATTCATGGTCAAACAGACAAACTACTATTGATTGCCACACATGATTTAATAATAAAATAAGGACATCTGCAGTCATCATAATGGCATTTATGTTTTAGGGTGTAAAAATTGGGCGGGTGTGGATAGCGTCACGTGTAAAAAAATTTCCTCCTTATCATGCCAGCCCAGGCCCGTCTTAGACCAATTAGAAACAAAATGATTTTGCCTTAGGCTACAATATGACAACTGGTTATTGCTTCCACATCTTTTTATGCACCCCATCTTCTTTGTTCTTCTATTTCTTTAACTCTCTCACTTTTTAAGCCCCCTCCCCAACACAAACAGAGACAAAAAAAGGGAGGAAAAATAAACTCACTTCCTCACTCCTGGAATGAAATTCCCTAATGAAGAGGAAAGAAACAACTCTGAGCAATTTGGGTTATTAGTTCAAATGTGTTCACAAGGCGACAGATCCTAGATCTATATTCAAACACGAGCAGCCTTAGACCAAAGCAGCTAAACCAACCAGCAATTTGATCTTAAAACCTTTTATGCTCATTTTGTTTAAATAAAGACAAGAAAAGAATGAAAATCAAATTTTATAAGTAATCAAAAAAGTAAAATGTAAAATAATGGATTATTGCCCCAAAAATGAAAGGCATCTGCTGGAATCCAAAATATCTTGTACGAACTTCATCAATATCACAAATTAACAATTACCAAAAATATTTAATTAACCATGTTACCCACTTTCTCTTCAATTTCCTTCATCTTACCAGTGAAAACCTAAAACATAATCATTTCTTATAATCATTGAAATAAAAAATGTATAACAAATAATGGACATCAGCTTAGAGTCAGAAATCCATTATTGGTGCTTTCAGATGCACATAGGTGAAAAATAAAAACTTATGAAAGAAGAATTGACTAGGATAACACACACAAACACACAGAGATTTCATTCAAATTTTGACAGCAAACAACTTTCTTGCCTCAAAAAGGTTCCAAGGGAAACATCTAGCAGAAGGTGCCTTGTCTGAGTCATGAAGACGCAAGGATCCTTACTGGCACCAGACTTGGTGGCTTGGTGCAACACATGAAAACTTTCGGGTCATTTTTTCTCAGTTGCGAAGCTGAACACATTTTGACCCAAATGTCAAACACTGCATTTCTCAAATTTTTAAAGTTCTTTTCTTAAGTGCTAGCAATGAAACAGCATTTTGGTGCATTTAAGGTAAAATACATCTTGTTCTCAACTTTCAACATCCACTTCTCATTTTAAAACAAAATGCATCACTAAAGTTGTTGGCTCATGTCTGCATGGTAGACTGGTTACTGTTATCCTACTGCCAACTTGCCATTCCAAATTTTCGTCTGGTTATTTGGTCTACCTCTCAACTGTACATTCTGGAGCCTCTGCTTTTGAGATTTGAAGGTGTGACTAAGTTTTCAACATGGCCTATGATGCTTGGCTGCTGTAGTTCTAAAATCATAGATATTGACACAGAGTAGGGAAAAAAAAAAAAACTAGATTTAAGTACTCATGAATTTAATTTAAGGGCTTATCTACCACTTATGTGAGACTCATGGTTAAATATTTTTGTTAATTCTTCAATTGTCAATGAATTAAGCAATTTGATGCATTTCCTGATTTCGAAATGTGCCTTCCAATTAGTAATAAACACAGCGATTTGAAAACTATGCCATCTGAACGGATTACACTTTATTAACAACAAATTACTTTTTAATATACAAACATTAGCAATGCATTACTTTTATAGTAATATCACATACATTCAGTTCTTAAAAAATAGTCCATAAGAATGGCTGGGAACAACAAGCACCACAAGGAATAAATATACAATAACATGCCAAAGTAAGACTACAATAGGCAGGATCAAAAAATCAATTCAATGATATCCATACCTTGGTCATTCCTTGCAGTGAATATGATCATTCCTGTCTCATCACCCACCAAACATTCAGCAATTCGCATTTGACGAGGTTGAGGGCCATCAGCACGACCTTTCTGTAGCACCATCTTAGTGCTGACCACTTTCACAGTTAGAGTGTGCCCGCTTGTGCCTGGGCGAAGTTGGTCAACCTTGGTGAAGACTGGCTTCCTCAATCCTGGTTTTGCTTCTGCCATATCTTTCAACCTAAAAAACCCAAAATCAATTTACGAGGATGAAAATACTCACAAGACAAGAAACAAAAGAAAACTGGGAAAACGCACAACTTTTGGAAGTCAAGGAAAATTTATCAAAAGGAGCCATTTCTTTCAATTAACTTGATCATTTCTCAATTGCTTTGCTTTCACGATTTGTTTGACTTTCTTGAGCATGATCTTGAAGTCCTCAGAATTGAACGCATCATTGATCCTACCTCCAGTCCTAATTATAAGACATGCTTTTCATGGTCCTGAATATGTAAGGATTTTTTCCAAATATATCCTTCATTGGAAGTGCAATTTTTGAATTTATGTGTGTAGAAAGAGAGCCCCATACACCATTTAATGCCTTTGATTAAAGGTAATTTTTAAATGTTCTGGCAACTTTTTAAAAATCATGACCATCAACTTATTTTAACCACTTAATCTATATGATTAGGTTAAACGTATCCTATAAATAGGACGGGGAGCAGTGTAAAGAATGACAGAAGCAATTACGGAAACCAAAGACTTTCTTCCTAATGAATATTCATAGTGACGCATAGAGACATAAAACCATAGAACCGTGGACTTCGACACATACAGGACAGAGTCCTTGTACATTTTGGGGGCATTGTGCCGCATCATAAATGTATTATGCACAGGCATAACTCCTTTCTGGAAGTACCCATGCCGCATAGTTTATAGCACTTATGTCTATATTCTTCCTTTAGCCATTATTATGAACACTGATGACTTAGCAACTTAGGCATGAAGGTGATTTGCTATCCATGGCTACAGCTCCACCCCATGAGAGGCACATTGCCTTTAATCAGGTGCAGTAACTTGAGTGCCACACTTTATCTGTCGTCCTTGTTCCAGGGGTATGCCTTGGGTGTTCTATGCTTACAAGCCCTTAAAGTATAATAATAGTAATAAGATAAAATAGAAAATCGCAGAAGCCCAGTGTCCCAGCCCTAGAATAAGATTAAAACAGTTATTAATATTTTAAATGATTATTTAGGCCACGAGTTTTTAAGGGTTAATAACCCAGCACAAACCAAAGCCATTAGGGACCTCAGCCACACTATAGCACAAACGATCGCCAAACAGAAAAAACTGATTATCATAGATTGACCGTAGCCACACTATAATCATCCGTTAGATTAGCACCTTGCTTCACTCGGACGTATGCCTTTTTTTTCAGCACAAGCTAATGCTTGAAGCGGATCGAATCCGTATGTCAGTGGCACCGCCAAAAGGCTGTTGGCCTTTCTAACACCTGTCGCTTAAGGCATTTAATGTTAAAATCCAGCGCCCCATGGACGCTTCCACCCTTGACTATGAAATTACAAATAAGGAAAACACAACCAAGAGTAATGGAGTGAAGCTCATAATCAAACTCCCAACTAGCATACGGGGCCAAAATTTTTCATTTACCCACATCCCCTGGATAACTGGTAAAGCAACAAAGATTATCAAAAAGCCAAACTTCACAGCTTTTGTCGTTACACCAAAATTATTAAAGAATCACCTTTATTCTTTGCGATAAAACACAGAAAACATTTGGTATTCGAAATTCGTCCTCTAAACTTAAGCATGGACTAACGATTTCATACACGAACTAATGACTTCAGATATCAACGATTCAAAAGTATAAAAAGGACTTAAAAGACAAAAGATTTAAAATTGGGATAGAAGTCAACAAATGAAAGGAGAGAAGTTAAAAACCTCTGCGAGAAACAAAATATCGATATAAAGAAGACAATTGTGAAGTTTGCAAGCGAATGAGTGGGAATCTACAACCGCCAACAAGAAATCAAATTCTGAAACTCACCGTATGTTGCCGAGGTGGAATAATGTTCCCAAATCAAAGTGGAAGAGGAGATCTGAAAGTGAAAATGCAAGGCGAAGCCGCCGAGGTCGGCTTTTAAGGAGAGGAAAAAAAAAGGTAGTACCACTTTTCACGGGTACAACAGTAACCCGCTCCGAACCCGCATAAATCTCAGTGCCGTCGATATTTACAAATTATATTATCTCCCGTCTTTTTATATAAGATTTCATTTAATTTTTATTTTGATCCTAAATATAAGATCCTAATTTACTTTATTTTTTATATTTATGTATTTTTTTCAAAGTAGTCCTTTTAATAATGGTAGTTTTAATCAATATACTTAATTAGTAAAGATATTTTAAGAAATACAACACTTATTTATTACAAATAACTAACTTAACTTCTTTTTTTAATCTCTTCAAATTAGTCAACTAGTTTTTATAATTATGACCAAAGATAATAACTTTTTTTTTAAAAAATAAACGTCACAAATTCACAACTTGATAAACATCTAAGAAAAAGGTGTTAAATCATTGGGAAGCTTTAATAAAAATAATACTACTATGTAAGATAAAAGAATAAAACAAGTAATTAAAAGTATTCAGTCTCACTTTTTTAATTTTTAAATCAGACTCTTTAAAAAATTTTCTTCATTGTCCTTCTCTCCTGCCAAACAGAGTGGCCTTAATTTATTTATATCCTGTTTGATCCTAAATATAAATTAAGTTGGAAATATTAAATCTGTTATAAAATTTTAATAATTTTTAATATAATTTTTTAACCATATTAAATTGCAGTATATTAATTTTTATTCTTTTTTACTTTCCTAGTTAAATATAAATATATATAAAAAATATTTAATACCTTTTAAAACTATCAAATACTTGTAAAAAATATCAAGAAAACCTTTTGGAAGATGCTCTGTATATGGGAATGGAGGGAGCAAATATAGATAATGATTCTAACTACTTTTCTTAGAAAATTAATGCATAAAGAATTTCTTTAAGCATATGAAAATGACATGGATTAAGGAGGATTCAAGTCATGGGAATTTGAAGCTCAATTGATACTATCTCCCTCAAGACTTAAAAATTTTTAACGTGAAATTACAAATTCGAATATCGAATTTGTAAAAGAATGAGCAAATTCTTTGTAAGTTATGGTTAAAAAAAATAGGATTCAAGTCATCTTATAGTAAGCATGTATAGCAATCTCATCAATAGTAGAAGAATGAGCAAATTCTTTGTAATGATTTATATATTGGGCTTAATTTTCTATTTTTCTATTGGGTATTGGCATTCATATTGGTATTGAAGAGAACAACAAAGAGAGGAGGAGGAGGACCAGGGACCTAATAATGTGTTTAAAAAAGAACAATTGGGAAATTTAAAGTAGTAACAACGTGTTCCATACTCTTAGACTCTAATTGGCTGGTATGCTAAAAAGAAATGAGAATATCATCCTTATCCTGTCTTTAATTAAAGAGAAAAGTAATAGTTTAGTAATTTAAATCTTAACTCATTCATAACTCATTTTTTTAACCATAATCTTATGTTAATTCCTAAACTTTTGATTTTTTTTAGTGGACATTTTTTTTTATCTTTTAATATCGAGCATTTTCTCTTTGCCCCAATTTTCAGTTATGACCAATTTTGTTAAATAAAAAAAGGTAATAAAAAGATAGGATATTCTTATTCCATCCTGGTTTTGTCCCATTACAATTGAGACGGGACACATGATTAAATCATCTCAATTCTATCCCGTTTCATGAGCACTCATTAATGGTTGTGGAATTTGTTTTAGGAAGGGGAGGAAGGAGATGAGAAATGAAATTATTTTTGGTTCGAAAAAATGGAGGAGAATGGAGGAAAAAAAATTGTTTTTTATTACTTCTCTCTAAATTTAGGGATTTTTTGAAAGAGAGAAAAATATTATGTCTCACTCAATTAAATTATTCACGTTAATTTTTAAACATTTTAATTTATCTTTTTCAGTAAAAATTTTTTTTTAAAGTCTTTTAGCCAATATTTCTCTTCAAATTCTAAGTTTATCTTTTTCAATGAAACTCTAATGATGATATAATATTTTTATTCAATCATTTTCTTAATATAATATGACAAGATATATTTTTATATATATTTTTATAGATATATAAATATTTTATACATGAGATAATATATATTTTAATATGATTGAATAATTTTTTTATATGTCATAATTATGAAATTAGAATAATAATTCTGATATAAATCTTGTAATGCAATAATAAAGAAAAATCAAATTAAAAAAATAAAAACGTATTTATCAACTTATAATTAGTTCTCACTCCCTCGATGGAAAAAGAAACAAACAACTCCCACCCTTTTTATTACTTTCTAATTTCTATACCTTTTTCAGTTTTCAATTTATTGATGATATATAGAGTACAACTTAGTGTAAAATAATGGGATGAAGAAGAGGTGTATTTGCCCCCTTAATCATCATTCACTAGCACCCTTAGAATTATTTATCAAAATTACAAGATTTCAAATATTAGACCTCCGATCTTTGAAATAACATCTAGATAATAATTCAAACTAACAAGAAAATCTAAATCATCATCAATCTATTTCATTAAGCAGGAAAAAAGACTACAGTAGAAAGAAAAATGAAAAAAAACAATTAGATTTCTATTTCTAATGGCAATGCAATACAAACGTATCATATCATTCAGAGTCTCAACCACAAGTTCTTATAATCAAAGAATCCTTATAATGAAAAACAAAACCCGAACACATATACAAGATGTGAAAATTAAAAGAAATACATAGTCAAACTAGAGTGAGACAAACGCAAACATGTCAACCTCGAATTTAAATTTATAACTTTATGATGTTAAATCCTCTTATTGATTAAGCTTGACTAATGCAAATCCAAGTGTTCATCAAACCTTCTAAACGACCATAATTGCACCATATCATCCAACTTGAAATTATTACATTCGACAACATATTTCCAATTATGAGTCAAATTATAAGTAGTAGAACTTGTCATTCGCCACCTTTTCAAAATCAAGTCGAACTCTTGAAGATTTGGATCCAGCACTAATACATGTAGACCTTGAGGCTTCTCATTATTGTTGAAATCTCTCTCAAAAACTCAGCTTCTTGTGGTTTGAGAAAATCCATGGCTTCCTTCAAGATCTTTTTTTCTGGAATGAGAAGCGATTATTGTTTGAGCTCAAATCACTCTTACAAAGCTTCTTTTCTATAATCATTTTGATATCCTGGCCTCCCATATCTTCATCTATTTTTCTTCTCCTCCATGGCAGTAACATGGCATAGTAACAATGACTGAATCAAATTCATCAAAAGTGGAGGTCTTGATGAAGAGAAACTGTCATTAGAATCTTGTTTATGATGGATTGTTGTTGGTTATAATTTGATTGTCTCCATTTTCTTTCTTTTATCTTTCTCCTCCTCTTGTGGTTCCTCCTCTTTTCTTTATCTACGAGCTCTTCTGAAATTTGATTCTTTGCGAAAAGTACAAGAGAGGCATCCAAATCCTTAGATTCTTCTATTTGATATCATCTATCTCTTTGAGTTGATGGCTTAGCGGTTCTCTCCTTCCTTCAGGCCTTGATGAATTTTCTTCTATGTTAAAAAAAAGATGTGGAATAGAAGTATGGAACTTGTCTAGTATATAACGAAAATTTTGGTATTATAAAGAAAAATTTTGGTATTCTTTGTATAGGATTAAAGATCCATACTTAAACAAATCTTGGAGATGATATATTATTTAAATATGATGTTAGATGCGGATAGATATTGATTAAATAATAAAAAGAAAATTAACTATTTGATATAGGACATTGAAAATTTTATTTTTTGTATTCATAAAAAATAGTTAGGTAATTTATATTGGATATTTAAGTGAATTACATATTATCTAAAAAAAAATTACATCGGCAATTACATTATATATTAAGTAAAATCATCGAG